TGTAGTCCCTTACTCCTCTTTCTGCGTACCAACCTGGCTCCCCGTGATCCTCATCAGAGAGCACTTCAAAATCGCGCCCGAGACACTCGCGCCGCAAACCGACTCGCTCGCTTTGACGCACCGCCTACTACCACTGAGCCACCCACCCGTCCCAGTTCTCACTCCCCACAGTCTCCACCCCCTGACATCATGCACACGACGGGATCTGTGAGCCCCGCCCGCTCCACCAGCGAAGGGCTTGCGTTCTTTGCCCAAGAGCAGACTTCCGACTCAGTGGCCACCCAGATGGCAACCAGCTCCGGCCCGACTTCCCAGTCAGACCCCATATTGGACATACTCCAGCGTATCGAGGCTAGATTCACGGCCCTCCAGACCGATGTCTCATCCTTGTCAGCCCGTGTGTGCCAGTTGGAGCCCTCTACCAGCGCATCCACCTCCACGCCATCCTCACCTGCGCCTATGGTAGCCCCCTCTTCTTCATCAGCTGGCATTATCTCCACGCTTATTGCCTCTACGGGCTGCATGTCCTCATCCCAGTCACACCCTTCATCTGCAGCCACCTCATCCTCCACAATCTCCTCATGGGGACCCATGGCGTCGTGTTCGGCGACCTCCTCAACTCTTGTATCCACAACACCTCTCTCACCACCCCCCACTTCTTTACCCCCACCCCCCATGACACCCCGGACACAGGTCATCCARCTCCAAAACGAAYTCGCCTCGGCCAAGGACCAAATCCGCCGACTCCAGGGAGGTCAACCCCTGCTCGCGACACAGCCTGTGGCCCCCTTCATCCAGCGACAACATYAGACACAGGCTGCCGCGATGCACTTCACCCTCCCACCATCGGCCACCACTATGTGTCAGGGACCTTYATCCCAACTCCCCGTTCTCTCTAGTACTCRGATTGGTACCAGCACTTCTTCTGTTCTCTTGTCACAATCGGCTCTTCCCCTCCCTCCTCACTATCAGCCACCGACATATGTCCCACAGTTTCGACCGGATCGCCTTCCACAGTTTGACGGCAAGGCCTCTGAGCTCCAAGGATGGATCACTACTTCCGAGGAGCAGCTCCGCTACCATGGCGTYGCCATGGAACTGTGGCCCGTCGAGATGTCATCCCGTTTCACAGGTCGCCCAGCCTCTACTTGGCGTGATTTCCTCGCTCTTCGATCTCAGCGGGGTGTACAGGAGGGCATGAGCTATCAGGAGTTCCGCGATTTCCTGCARCAGTACTTTTYTCGTCCTGCGCYGACCCGCGACCCGATTTYCCGGSTGGMCGAGATCAKATGGCTTGGTGGCGACAATGCCCTCGAGTCATWTATCACGRCATTCCATCGTGTYCGYGCCCAGATCCCCGTCACCACCATACCAGAGGATCCCATGATCCAGCGATTCCGCGCWGGCCTCCCCCARGCATTCCARCWGCAGATGATCGCCTACTCCATCTCTACGTTACCAGAGGCCTTCAACATTGMTCGGGCCATCCATCTATCTTATGCCCCACTTGTTGGCTCTTCGCCTCAGCCTCCCKCCACCTATGCTGCTGCTGCTGCAGCCCCTCGCCCCCCCCAGCCTCSACAGTCTTCCACTTTCYGTCGTGGTCCCCGCAGAGGTACCGGCCGATCGCTCGCACGCCGATTCCACGCACTGCTCCGTGACCCRTCGAGTGCAGAGGAGGGCACAGCCTCGGACGGTTCGGCGAGTGACCCAGACCAGCGGTCTGACCCTCAGTCGCCCACGRAGGACGACACCCATTCCCAGGACGATCGCTTTCTCTGGGCCCTTTCCGCTCTCTTCCGGCGRCAACCCTCATCATCCAGSACTMGCTCMACGGTCGCCCAGTTGCCTCTACCAGCGGGCTTTGTGTTCCCCCGCGGCCGTTTGACTATCACGGAGAGTGAGGAGCTTCGCGCACGAGGCATCTGCACCYGTTKCCGTCTYGCCGGTCACACCCMCTCTACCTGCCCATATGCGGACGCCCTCCAGAGCCATTTTGCACAACAGGCTCGCCCTCAGGCTGTCCCCCCCGCCTCGACCTCCAGCACAGCAGCCACCTAGCCACGATGTCTCATTCCCCTGATCCTCCCACAGTAGCWGGCATTCCCGCCCGCGAGTCCACCTTCTCGCCACTTACTACTTTCTCGGAGGACTCGGACTCGACTTCCTTGTCAGTCGACCCTAGTGTTGCCGACCCACCTCCCATGCCTTCGCCTAGCGTCTCTCMTGACCCCTCTCCTCCTCCTCGTCCTCCTACTAGGCGTGCCCTTCGCACGGCCCGCTGCAGTGCCCCCCTTATTGCAGCAGAGGATATCATCGACTTCCTGGACCTTGAGTGTGTTAAGGTCCGCCAGGAACGTCTCCACCTTAAAGAGCACACCCTCGCCGCGATCTCCCAACGCTTACACAATCCCGATCGCACTTTACCGATTATTCCTGTGCGCCTCGGGACCTCTACTAGAGTCTATCGCGCATTATGGGACTCTGGCTCTACTGGCGAC